TTATTTATATTTGCACTTCCACACACAATATGAGGCATACCAGAAAATACAATTAAGGGATTGAATGTTTTTTGTTGTGTTTTTTGTTGTTTTTTTTTGGGTTTTTTTTTTTTTTTTTTTTTTATTTTTTCAATGATGAATTGTGGACTTCATGTCATGTGGATGTACCCGCTGAACTTTCATAGCACCATGAACGTTTTTTAAAAAAAACTGACTTCCAGTTCGTATATATATGACAGATATATAGATTAATGCCTAGCATAGTAAAACAATGAATAGATATGCCTGTATGGACATTTTGGTATGACAAGTGAGGATTTAGGTAATACATATCTGGGAACGAAAGACATTTAAAAAATAAGCAAACAAAAAAGTAAAGCTACATTTATTGACCTGGAACACAGTGAAAATACCAAACCAACTCACAATGTTGATTTAAAATTAAACGATGTGTGCACGATATAAATATAAACACCGGTACCAGTTTGCCACAATCCCACTCAGTCATGGTCCCATTTAGCTATGGTCCTACTCGGCCCAGGTTTCACTCAGCCTTGGTCCAAGTCAGCCACGGTCCTACTCAATCCTTGTCCTAGTCAACCACGGCCCCGTCGAGCCCTGGGTCCCAGAAAGCCCTGGTGCCAGTCTGTCACTGTCTCACTCAGCCCTGGTCCAAGTCAGCCACGGTCCTACTCCATCTTTGTCCTAGTCAACCACTGCCCTGTCGAGCCCTGGGTCCCAGAAAGCCCTGGTGCCAGTCAGTCACTGTCTCACTCAGCCCTGGTCCCAGTCTGTCACTGTCTCACTCAGCCCTGGTCCAAGTCAGCCACGGTCCTACTCAATCCTTGTCCAAGTCAACCACGGCCCTGTCGAGCCCTGGGTCCCAGAAAGCCCTGGTGCCAGTCAGTCACTGTCTCACTCAGCCCTGGTCCCAGTCTGTCTCTGTCTCACTCAGTCCTGGTCCAAGTCAGCCACGGTCCTACTCAGTCCTTGTCCTAGTCAACCACGGCCCTGCTGAGCCCCCGGCCCCAGTCATCCACAGTCTTAGTCACTCACGCTCGCAATCATTCCCTGTCATGTATTCCGGGTACCATTAATTCACTATCTTACTCAGCCCTAGTCCCAGTCAGCCACAGTCCTTCTCAGCCCCGGTCTTAGTCAGGCCCCTTTCCGGTCCATATAATTCACGGTCCTACTCAGCCCTTGTCCCACTCAGCCACAGTCGTACTCAGCCCCGGTCTTAGCCAGGCCCCTTTCCGGTCCCAGTCATTCACGGTTTTACTTAACCCTAGTCCCAGTCAGCCACAGTTCTACTCAGCCCTGGTCTTAGTCAGGCCCCTTTCCGGCACCAGTCCTGTTGTGCGTCACCTCAGCTGTTTCATGCAGTTGTCTCAGACTGACCATTTTACAGCTATCACTTAACGAAGATCGACCCTTCTATGAAGTTACTTTTTCCAGGTTCTAACCACCCGTTCCTTTTCTGTAACGTGCTTTCTATATCCGGTTTCGGAGTTCACATTTTACGTTGGTGTTTTGGAGTTTTTGCTGATCACATGACGAAGCCTAGGAATAAAGGTGGAGAATTTTGTAAACGAACTAAATTTAATAAGATCAATATATTAAAGAAGGATAGAAAAACGCTATGGCCGCTTAGTAGAGGTATAAACACAGATATCGGTATTATTACTTTCGTGCCACGTTTAGTACAATCATGATTATAAGCGATTATGCAGAATGTAGACAGTCGTGTTTGAAAAAAAACTACAGAACTGTGTTATTTTTGTTTTATTTCAATAACATATCTATGGTAGATAGAACTTTTGAAACGGATTGGAGTACTCGTAATGACCTGTGTTTTTACTTTTTGAAGCGAAAATAAGGTGTACTGTTGTAAAATCGAATAGCTAAATGGGTAATAAGTCACTATTATTTAACACTACTTTCAGACAGACTCATCGACGAACAGAAACGTCCGTTTTGCTCTGGAGTCGTCCGATAACCGAGAACTGAACAGAGGTATGATACCTTCCGGGTGTAGCTACCCGGGATCCTCGGAACCGTACTTAAACTACAATGTTCTGTTACAACACTACTAGCAGTATAATAGATCATAATTTCATGAAAAATATGTTATAATTTTTATTTGTTTATTTCAACGATTTCATGTCAAAGAAACATGGGGTGGGGGGGGGGGGGATTATCCCATAAAAGCTGAAAAATAAATGAAAAAACATAGTTTCACCCAGATTTGACAGCAGAATTGACAATCAGTTTTTAACTACTAAATCACACAATAGATGTGGGACAGTTATGCATTATATAATGCATTACCAAAGATATGTTTATGCGATATGTATATATATATATATATTGTGTAAGACAATTGATATGGTATTAACTGAACAATATCTTTAACTCCTAATTGTCGAAATCTTGATCAGAAGCTCATAAGTATGTATCTAAATATGACCCTGGTAGTAAAAGTAATATGATGACATGTGTGTTTTTGATGTAAACATATTTTATTTGTACAAAGTATACAAGCAGGATTGGGCACAAGTTTTCTAACTTATATAAAGCCCTTTCCTATAAAATTTTACAAAATACATATTAACAAGACAAGAAGACATGTTTAAATACCAAAAAAAAAAACGAGGGAGGGAGGGAGGGAGAGAGGTTTAAATACCAAAAAAAACGAGGGAGGGAGGGAGGGAGGGAGAGAGAGAGAGAGAGAGAGAGAGAGAGAGAGAGAGAGAGAGAGAGAGAGAGAGAGAGAGAGAGAGAGAGAGAGAGAGAGAGAGAGAGAGAGTTTAAATAACTTCATGTAGAGCGGTCTCTCCTGATACAAACAACACAAATAAAAATACAATATTTTTACATTTATCACGGAAGGAGATAAAGGGAGGTAAATAGAGAGATAAAGATCAAAATCTGTTTGAAGTATGTGTTTATTGTGGTGTAAGCATATATCTATAATTAAAACTGAAAGTCACTAAATCGGGTTTTATGCTATAAAATCTGAATGGATGGACTACTTTTAACACGGAAGTAACGTCCTTGTCATTTCCTGACATGTACACATTCTGTGCTGGTAAGATTATAGCCTGTGGCGAATAATGACTCGCGTGAACATGACGACGATTGTAGACATAATCTTTGTAACCTATGTGTGAATGGTGTGATACGTCACTAAACGTCAGAAACTACAGGAAAGCGTAACATTTTGTGACGGTTTTCAGCTTTACCTTAAAGGAACACCTACCAACATGTACAAGATAGTTACGTGTGCAGTTGAAATAGATCGTAAAAGTTTTGTTTTGTTTTCTCGTTTTCTTTTTTTTTCAAACCGAAGTCATTTGACAAAGATTGGGTTACAACAATTCATCCCAGATAAAAATACAAAGAACTGATAATCAATATTGACTTACATCCGTTAACGTAAATTTCAAGTTTTAGATTGTACTCAAAATTATGTCCAGTTCATCAGGAAATGAATGTTAAAATTAGATGTCGTTCATCAAATTAATAGCTGAATTAACCCTATTTTCCACTTTATACAGAAATAATGACATTTGATAAGTAATTAAAAACTAAATATAAAGATAAGACACTATATGATAAAACGTAGACCTGTAATTAGTGGTTATTTCAATTATGTCTTTGTCTATATTTTAAAAAATCACAAGAATACAATGTACGTTGTATGCGATCATGCGGAAAAACATTCCCCTGTCCATTTGTCATTAAAGTATTTTACATAAGGACATGTGCTCGACTGCTCTGTACAGCTTCTTTGGTTTCAAACATGATGTTAAAAACAGACTGATTGTAATATGTAACTGATGAAATAAATGTATTTTCTTTCGTTTAATATCATGTTATCCATTTTATCATTTTCTTTCGTGTAATATCATGTTATCCATTTTCTTTCTTTTAATATCATGTTATCCATTTTATCATTTCGACCACCGTGAATTCTATCCAGCAAAGTTAATATTTTCATTAATATACACGAATCTTGCCTCCGGCCAGTTATACTGCAGGTACATAGAACCAGGAAAAGAAGGCTTTCGATCTACCGGTACAATCTGGTCAGCCTTAGGGTCCAGTGCAATTCTTAAAACACCATTTATTATTTTTATCTCGTGACACGAACAACTGAAAACATGTTATCATATTCTCTCATTATATTATAACGCCTCGAAAATAACATGAACGTTTTTTACTGTAAATTTTAAAAGGCTCAAAGAAATTTTGATTAATAGCATGTTGGTACGTGGATGTTGTTTCTAAATATACATATTTGCCACAAGGCACATGTCACCAAAGTCATACGTACGTTCACACCTGGTCAAGGCATCAGATTTAGAATGATTCGGTGATTTGTAAACATTGTCCGGAAGAGTTATGACGAGCGTAATCTTCCGCCTTTTTGAAGTCAACAACTTGTAGGAACACTAACAAAGGATGTAAACATTTTCTGACTGCCACGACAGGATCTACATCACGATTATAAAGGTAAGCATCGTATTCAATTTTATTTGTAGGAATTCGTGTCGTTTTGAATATTAGTTCAATTTCATATCACAGAAACCTTAAATAAGCCCACAGGTGATAATCCCAATACCGTAGTGTTGTTAGAGTAAATAAAAATTAACCTTTATTTAACATTGACAAAGTCAGTACTAGACATGTTTATTCATAATATATTTATTATCAATTAAACTATTTATTCAGACATCGGTGTAAATATATAGTTTCCAGCGGTACAGACGATCAATATTTTTACACAACTAAATGACGATTCGGCGCACTTCTATAGAAACAATTAATATATTCCAATATAACTGAAATCCTTCAATTTCAAAAAAATTCATGTGACGTAATTGTGTTTGCATTTTTCGATACGATGAATTAGTAAAAATGAGCGTAGAGTATAATTAAAACAATCATTTTTTTTCTTCAGATGACATTATAGAATCCGTTAGAAAGCCACAGCCATGAAGAGGGTCATTGCATTGGTTTGTCTAATGATTTCCACCGTCACATCGATAAAGGAACCGTTGACTGCGCGGACTTTGAACTCAGCTTCTGGAATCGAAGTAAACAACATTAAAAGGAAGATATTAACGTTCAACGCAAAAACGCCGGATGAAGACTCAGTGAAATCAGGATATAATCCATATGTTGACATCAGTTGGGACAAAAATTTGTTTAAAATGAAATTTCGAGGCAAGCAGGGAGGTAGATTCAGAATCGGAAGAGCTCCGAAGTCTACACTCGGAGAACCTTGGCCTTTACCTCAGAAATACAAGGTTAATCGAAATATTGTGTATTATATAGACCATGAGCATTTTGAAATAATAAAAACAAAGAATACTTGTGATATATTAGAAAAAGCAATACAAAGATATCATGATATTATTTTCACATTTGCGTTGGAAGAAATCCACGAGAATTTTGATATCCTGTTACCAAAGAGCAAACTTGATGTTACTTCGGAAATGTATAGCAATGCAGAAAACATACAAACTTTAAGGATCAACGTCCAGACCCGATGTGATAAGTACCCCAGTGAGGATTCCAAAGAGGGATGTGAGTATAAATGTGGGGTCGAGGGTTTTAGACAAAGTACCAAAAACATACCTAAGTAATTTCCAAGATAAAACCATCCATTTTTGTTAATTTGTAATGTACATAATAAAAACTTTTCGCAACATGAATAGGACGTTAGTATAATTCCTTGCCTATCAAACCATCGACAAATTTTGTCATTGTGATAGTAATACTTTAAGAACAACGGAAATCGCGCCAACTTTTTCGAACTTTTTTATATCACGATGTAAAAAGATGAAACGTAACTGATCCAAATAAAAAAAGTACATTTCTCTCCATCACTTTTAGATTGGAAGCAGTTCTATACAATTAGTTCCAATTTGTTCAAGAATTTGTAAAAACCGTACATGTGATACGCTGTGTTAGAATTATGACATTAGATTATCAGCAAATCGCTTTCTCATCCGCCCTGTTTGGTATATTTTATAATTGCTCAGATCTTTATGTCGAGTCTTCAAAAGAGAAAAAAATAAAGTTAAAAATTACAGATGCCCCCCGCCCCGATCCCCTCACCCTCCACCCCCTTTCTATTGAAGAGTTTGGAAAACTTTTAAATATACAACGGCATCTATGTCTACCAGGTAAATACGATGACGATGTGTTTGGATGATGTTATGAAATACTTATATTTATGATTTTAAAAAAACCTATTCCAGCACATGTTGAGAACTGACTGTAACGAATACAGCGTGATCTCCTCAGGAATTTTGTCTTTTGATAATCTACCAAAGTTTCCCCCTTTTTCCAATTGTCTCTATTTAAATTGGATTCAGATATGTTGTTTAGATAAAGATAATTCAGAAACACTTGGTATTATTCTCCTTGTACTTTTTTTAGGAGTCTCTGTGTAAATCTCTCTTTTGTTTATATCTTGCCCTCTCTTTATTGAATTTGAGCTGGATTTTGATTTGTTTGTTTGTTTGTTTTTGTTTGTTTATTTGTTCTTTTGCCCTGGTTTTATGAAATTGAGTTTGGATTGTGACTATTTAAACATATTGATATCAAATAATTAATGAATTATGAAGAGTTATGACGTTTAGTAGTCGAATTACATTCTGCAATGATTTCCCCAATGTTCTGTTTTCAATTTGACTACTTTAAAAATAGATATTCTCGGCTTAATTTGATTCCATTATCTAATCATCCTCCCATTTTCTACAGATGTTATCAGTGTTAATGGGTCCGGAATTCACCTCGATGCTGTCGAAGTGTGGGGCGCTCTGCGTGGCCTTGAGACCATCAGTCAGCTGGTGTATAAATATAATGAAAAGGTATACATTGATGTCCTAGTTTGGTTTGATAAATTCACAAGTTATTACAAAATATCACAATATAAAACTTATTATAGTTTATGTAAATAAAAAGTAAACTAGTTTAAACTAGCAGTCAATTGAAGTATTGACACACAAAATGTAAATTGTTTGACAATGTCTGTTTGACATTTGTCTACCTTACATCTAACACATCAGTATCTTTGTAGTTTTATATCAGACAAATGTCAGTGAATGACTTCCCCCGATTCCGGTATCGCGGTTTGATGGTGGACACGGCGAGGCATTTCTTGCCGAAAGACTTACTGTATTCGATGTTGGTATGTAATCATTGAAGAAGTTCATGATCTAAATCAAGTGCAGTTTTTTTTATCTCGTTGTATTGAAAACAATAAAATGCATCTGCTTGCTACAGTGTGTGCGTCTCTTTCGCCCACTGATTCATTTCGCACCGTTTTATAAATCACTTTCCTGTCAATGTTTGATAAACAGAAAAAAATAACGAAAGTGATAAACGGAAATGTCTACAATTACTAGTGTTCAGCCAGACGTTATCCATTGCCAGTAGCACTTTTTTGATACCGTATTATTTTTGCGGTTATATTAGGTACGATGATAAATTATTGGCGTGCATGATTTTCGTGGACGTGGCTTGAAGACATATCACGAACGAAAAATTTACCTCTTTACAGGATGCCATGTCGATGAACAAAATGAACGCTTTCCATTGGCATATCGTAGATGACCAATCGTTTCCATACCAGAGCAAGGCATTTCCAGAGCTTTCTGAAAAAGTAAGTTTATTGTATCACGTGAAGTTAATTGTCTAGTTTGCTTTCCACATGAAAAAGCGCATTAGATGAACATGCACCCTTTTTTCATGTGCTGAAGGAGAACAGGCTACCATTGATTCAAAAGGTAGACATTGCACCTGCTGTAATAGGTCTGACTAAGCTCATTACGTTTTAAGGTGTTATCTTGTCTGTGATTGCTATAGCAAACATTAATAGTCATTAAACTTTCATTGTTTGTCTTTTATCTCTTAACATTACATATGTAACGTTTTGTATTATCTGATATATGCAAACTACGAAATTTATTTAAGCATGGGGCTAGTGTACATCCGCGTCTATTTTTTTTTTTTCGATCACTTTGGATTTTCCTTAGTCGACCTTTAGGTTTCAAAATTTAGGACATTGTCATCACTGACAGGTAGGACGAAACTGCTCTATGATGCAGTTAAATTCTTTGTTTGTCTCTACTGTATCTAACTCTTAATTTGCAAGAAAAATGTTATTTAATTGTGTATCTTTTGTACAGACATTGATATGTAGTTAATTAGTATTTAATTCTGTATCTTACAGGGTGCCTTCCATCCGTCCATGGTCTACACACAAACAGATATTGCTGATATCGTAGAGTACGCCAGACTACGAGGAATTAGGGTCATTCCTGAATTTGACATTCCAGGTATGAAAAAAAATAATGGTAAACTATAATACTTTTGTAACTTACCTTATAACATGAAACATACAGGTAGACCATGATAGTTCAAGCATTTCTTTTCCACAACAGCGTCTGTACGCTTTTGAGTATCCATCTATGGACTATCATCAAAAGAAGCGACATTTCAATAATAACGTGTTCTTGTAGATTTCCAAATCTCAACATGATTCATTTAAAATTAGACTGTCAAGTTTGTTCAACTACAGGTCACACATTTTCATGGGGAATCGCAAAACCAGAACTGATGGCCCAGTGTTACTCGGATACAGGACCGGTACCTGGACACTATGTCAACCTCGACCCCAGCCTCAACAAGACCTACTCGGTTTTGGAAGCATTATTCACGGAAATTAATGATCTGTTTCATGATAGCTATGTACATACTGGCGGGGATGAGGTTCCCATGGATTGTTGGTAGGCTATTACATATAATGTATTTTTTAGACTGTTACATTTATCGAAAACCTGTCGTATTTTCTATTTATTCTGAAACTTTAGATGTTCCCTACAGGAAAAATGACGTGCCATAAAAATACACGAACTCAAAAACAATTTAGATTACTACAAATTGATCTAGTCAGATGTTAAAAAAATAAATTGCTCAAAATTTTAATGAAATTGCTACCGTTGGATGATTTTAAAAGAATGACTAGTATGCGTGTATTCTAAGCTTTTCCATTATTAATAAGAATTTAAACGTGACGTACTTAATTATGATTAAGCCTTCCAGATTAACCCTCCCTTCATAAGAGCTTACCACCCAACAAAATCAATATATGATTAATAACATCCATGGTTTCACAATATTTTTGGCATGTGTAAAGTTATAAAATGTTTATATTGAAGTGGAAAGAGAACATCCTGAATTCTAAGAACAGTTTATAATTATGTAATTTATCGAATTTTGGAGTAAGAGCATTCAGCCGACCCTATTTTGACCAGTTTCCACCGAGCAATTGAAAAAAATTAATCCCAGAGTTACTTATAGAGATAAGCTTGACAGCTAATGGAGGCCGAGAATGAACATCATTGACGAGTCCTAGAAGGTCGAAACATTGAATGATGTAAGTTAATTCGTGGGTGTCGTTTTTTACAATCTTTCCTAATGGATAAACAGTTTCTTTGGTATAATATTGTACTTTTATCTGAAATATCACCATCAATCCTGCGATCTGTTTATAAAACTACGTTTTTCGTCGCTATTTTGTATACTTAATTGATGTGATGATTTCATGTGTTAACATGTGTGTCCTGAATAAGTCTTACTGATGATGAGAAGTAAATACATACACTTAGAATGCAATGTGCTCTACATTTGGTATTTATATAGATACTCCATTATCAACCTTAATATATATCATCAAGCTCAACGACGGGTGATTAGGATGTGAACTCTTCGGATCGACTTTATTGTAGATGACAAATATTGTTTTATTTATTGATATTATTACAATGTAACCAGGGGAGACAATTTCAAATATATTTTTCTGAGTATTCTTATTCTCATATTTTCCGAAATATTATTATTGGAATCAATTAGATTTCGATACCTTAACTTGATAAATACTGCGATATGTCCAGAGATTTAAGAAATTTTATTATTCTCCCTGTCGAAGTGCTACTGTTTAGTGTTGTCAATGATACATTTCTCCTGATAACAATAACACCATTTTCAAGGCGATCCAATCCAGGGATCCAGCAACTCGTTCGGAAGTTAGATGACAGTTGGAAGACTCTGGAAATGGGCAGACCGTTGACAGCCAAAGCATGGAACTACTTTGTCAATCGGTAAAATATAACATTTTTATACTGTATATCTACTACATGAAATGATTGTTATTGAATACAAATATGTAATTCTCATTGTGATTAATTTTATCCCACACCCCACTCTGTATTAAAGATTTGCATGGCGACCCGTTGCCGATGTAGCCCTTCAGGAAAACCTAGTCTTATTCACTTTGTACTTTTTCAGTAATCTTTGTGTAAATCTTCGAAGTATTTGGGTTCTTTTTATCCCGGCCAATCTAATACTCGGATAACTCGAAGTTTTCAAATGGTCCCACCTACTTCGAAATAACGAAGTTCGACTGTATGATGATGTCGACTTAGCTTTTGCATTCTGTAGTTAGTCAGCCAAATGGGTTACTACGGATATATTATGTTTTTTTCATTCCTTTATTACATCATTGATTCATGTATCTAACATTGATTGACGCTCTCTCTCTCTCTCTCTCTCTCTCTCTCTCTCTCTCTCTCTCTCTCTCTCTCTCTCTCTCTCTCTCTCTCTCTCTCTCTCTCTCTCTCTCTCTCTCTCTCTCTCTCTCTCTCTGATGTCTAGATAAATAAGTGTTTGAATAAACATGTCTCTTCTATATCACTATAACTTATCACTGGCAGAGTAGCAAGAATGGTGAAAAAAATAGGCGAGGACAGAGGGACCCCCAAACGGATCATGATGTGGAATGAAGTTTTCAGAGATGGCTTGAAGGTATATATTATTAACCCACGATATACTAGGGCATGTCAAAACAATTAACATTGCGATCGCTAACACGTTCTGGACAAATTAAGTACTTCCAATTAGAATATTTTGATTTCCAACCATTTAGATTGACCCTCATCTATGGCTCAAAAACTGCGTTGTCAGTTTATCATGCAACAACAGATTAAGGTTACTAGGATGTTAATTTATCAAATGTGTATGATATATACAATATATTTATTGTTTCTAAAACATACATTCATATAGAGTATTACATTCTCTTCATATTCTATATCAGCCTCAAAATTCAACGTAACATTTGGTATGTTGTTAAAAGAGAAAACAGTTTTTAAAAAAATACTGCTGTATACTTCTTATATTCAAAATGAATATAAACTATATTTTCTTGTATTGCTTCTTAACCTGATTTACAAATTGGTATTTCTGGATTGATTAGTCGAAACAATAATATGCACCACGTGCATAACAGATATTCTGGAAATAGCTATAAAAGAATGAATGAGATGCAACTCCTCTCTCCAACCTAACGTTCATCTAGGCATTGAACAGATTTTTTTATTCTTGTTTTTAGCGACTTTTATGCAAAGTTCTTAGATATCTCGTTTTACTGAAACAAACAGTTCATCGTAACATTTAAGCAATATCTTAATGCATTGTTCTTATTCTTTTCTAACATATGCTTACTGCTCTATAAATGCAATGCCAAGAGGTGTGAACTGTTGTAACTCGTTGATAACTAATGGAAAGTTTCTATATATATCTAAAACACTTTTTAAATTATCTTCAAGTTTAGGTGAATTATTGTACATGAAATCTATTTCGCCTCAAATTTCCCCCAACATGTATGAGGTATGATACATAAGATATGATGTTACACTTATGTTTTTAAGACATACATACAATTATATTTTTATATAATTTAATACATATCTTTTGATTCTGATAGATTCCAAGTGACTCGATCATACAAGTATGGTTTGGCAATTCTAAAGAGGTGGAGAAAGTGATAGAAAGTGGGTATCATGTGATCTACTCTGAGTGTTGGTACCTTGACAAAGTGAGCGAATATGTCCAATGGCCTGATCTCTACCTGTGTGACCCAAACACTCGCAAACCTGGTGAGAACATGTAAAATAGTCACAAACATTCACAGTAATATTTGATTTGTTTGTGTCTTTGTTTTTTCGAATAGTTTCTTAAATCAGAATATTGAATATTTGAATCTCTTTGAAGTGTTTTTAATTGTGCTTACACGTATAAAACATTGAGTATTTTTCTGTCTGCAAATACTTATAAGAGAGTTTTTTCAACAATACAATACCATCTTTGATGAAGTAGAAGACACTTATACATGGTCTTATTTTCTTTGTACCTTTTCAAGGGCTTCCGTGTTTTCGTTTGTTCAGATTTTGCCCTAGTTTTATTGAATTCTAGTTTGGATTATGATCATGTTTGTATTTTCGCGGTGTTTTTAAGATACTGAAGGTCGGTCATGTCCTACCACACATATAAATGATTTTCAAAGAGATTTTATTTTCAATTTTCAACAAGGATTTGAGAAGAGAGAGGCCATGATATTAGGAGGAGAAGCCTGCTTGTGGACTGAAAATATTGCTAGTGAATCTGCTATGCTTTATACATGGTAAGTCTAATATCTGTTTTTATATTTTTTTTCATCGTGTTTTAACCGTATTCGCAATCTTTTCAAATACAATATTTTTGAGAATATCATTTAGGTTTTTTAATTGAACTTATCTTTAGGAAATATATGTTAGAATATTTGCGAAGCTATTGAACAAAAACAAACTAAAACCTCATTTTTAAAACAAACGAATGTTTACGTTCAAAAGGAAACCAAATTTCATATCTTATTTATTTAATGTGTGTACAGATCTGAAAATTATCGTTAGAATATTTCTTACATTAAATAATGAACGGTTTAACGATGATTTCGCATTCAATACTAACTAGATCTGGTTTGTAGGCCTCGGACCTCTGTTGTTGCTGAACGGCTTTGGAGCCACAGGGATGTTCGAGACGTGAACACGGCGGCGACACGTCTTCAGGAACATAAGTGCCGTATGAGCAGGTAAACATATTTCAGGAGATCATGTTCTTCTGAACAGATAAATAACATCAACTGTTTTCTTTGATATCAATGATTCTGTCGTAAATTGAATACAAAATACAATCAGGGAAGTCTTAGTCTTAAAATATGACATTATCTTCCCTCAAGGAATTGTAATGAATTAGTAACAAAATACGTCTTGAGTTAACACATATGATATTTAAAAAATAATCGTCCCTTTTGTATATTTCTGTTAGACGTGGTATACAAGTCAGCATGATCAACGGGCCCGATTACTGTCCTCCATATAGCCATAAAATGAAACCAAAGGTCAAGGTTGACAAGACGATTACAAAACATCACGACAAAGACACAAAAGTAAAGTTGCTAATAGACCAAATTAAAAACGGTGTTCCTGTATCCGTCAAGGTAAGAAAATACCAACATGTCGACAAAATCGTAATCCAAATTCAAATTTGATCAACTTCGGCAAATATGAACAAAAGAATGATTCAAGGGAGATTCCTGAAAAAGGACAAGGAGAATAAGACCGGGTGTTCATGAAGAGTTAGCATCCTCTGCTTCAAAATCATAGTTCGACATAAGCGGTGCCCCGGAGCTTCGAGATACCGTACTATGATCCATGATACAAAAATATTAGTAATCGGTTTCCTTTGAGGGATACCAGATAGAGAGCATAAAGATAACACCTATGCCGGCTTAGATTCTATCAAAGGTCCATGATTGATAAAAATATTAAGAGTATATATTCGTCTGAAATGCACAAATTGCTTTCTAATTTCAAACCATCAAAACCAGTATGTTACTTCTAGATAATTTTCTGGTGTTACTGTAGGCATACACGTAGTTTTATTGGTACAATCTGTCATCAATGCCTGCCGAGGGCAACTCCAATACCAGTGCTGTACATGTTCCATGCGTCCACATTGATTTGAAAAAAAATTGTAAATATGATATTTCTTGCATCATTGATCATTTTTTTTTATTTATTCATTTGTGTCTGTCGTATTCTTGAAAAATAGACTAATGATTTATATAACTATATTATTCTGGTATGTAAAATTTAACACATTAGCATGTAAAGAAACTGTTGAAAATTCCACTTATCCATCACCATGTCTGCTTACAGGAAAACAGACTACACAGAGTTCGCCTCAAAGCCCAGGTATGATTTAATAGATTAACAACAGCGTATCGTAAAAAAAATTTTCAAACAAATCAAAACCACTACAAAAAGTGTAAAATTAATAGAAATATTATGCATAATTATTCATGTGGAAGATATTCTTTGTTCACTTTTTCTGTTCTGTGCACAACTATTTTATCCTCGCATTCCTGATATTAAACATTGTGTTTTTTAGTTGTAAGAAACTTTGTTCAAAATTATATTGTCATCTCGTCCCTAGCATTAAACAACGTGTCTGATATTTCTATTGTACGAAACCCTGTTCACAGTTATGTTGTCCTTCTGTCCGTAACATTTAACACTATGTCGTGTCTGTCAAATAATACGGTATTCACTTCATTGTTCTCTTTTTTAACTTTAAACATACTTCATGTGGTCTCTGTTGCAGGAAACTGTGTTCATCGCTGTGCTGTTTCTTCCGTTCCTAATATTTACATCATTATACTGCTGCTTGAAAATAAAACGATCCAAAATTTTCAGTAGAATAATAAATTGCATAAAACGTGTGATATTTAGATAATGTAATTGTGTGTGTAATTAAATGTTTACGTTTTAAATACAAAGCGTCTGTATTCATTGGACACTACTTTGCATATCTATACCATCAATTTGATCATGATTTTCCAGAAGCCGTCAGTAGTTGTGGTGCCATTTTTACTTGAAACCTACTTGTTTGTTCATTATTTCAAGGCATGAATCGTATAACCCTGACAAATTAAAAACGTGCATGTTATCCAGCGCCTACTCATATACACAATGACTCGTTCACCTAAACCATACCTCTCTCCACCCCTTTCTGCTACAGAACACATATTGAAACCTCCACTCCGTGATCGAGGTCACTACGATCAGAATTATTATCTGTGTAGTTGTTTTGATACGTGTTTATACATGTTACTAATGTGAAAAAATTGTGAGAAGTGTAGATATGTATAGGATTTTAAATGAGTTTACATTTTGTGAGATTTTATTTAATGAGTCTTGGGATTTGCTTTCTCGATAAGTGTCATAAAATCTCATACGAAATAAAATAAAATTGTTATACCATGACTACAAAAAGTTTCATTTTGACAGGGCTTTAAGTAAAACAATTGAAGACTAAAATCAATGTAATTTCCCCTCGAAACGTGTTTATTTATTAACAATTTTTAATGAATAAATCATACAAATATCACAAATTAAAAAGATCTATGTCATCCAGCGTCTTCTCTGACTCCATCTGTAATTCCGTAGTGTAGGTTTCAGATATAGATAACACGTAGCAACGAAACGAAAAATCTAAAGTTATCCCCCTTTGATGTTCTATATACGTTGACTGCTTTCTCCCTACATAACTAAAGCCTGAATGAAGAATTGTATATGGCTTTATTGAATGATTATCTCATGTTTTGTGCGGTAATGATCCATAGTGACTTTAAGTATGTCTTGGTATATATTGATAGAAAGATACAATTGCGGAAAAAATTAATCTGTTTTCTGACAATAAATTACAAAATACTAGTAAGATATTCCCTTTTATACATCATTCCTAGAAATCAAAGTCTTTGATTATTAAATTCCTAGTTACCAAATTATTTTATAACACATTATCAGTATTGAATGCTAATCAAACATTACCAAGAGTTACATCCCCTGTTGTCTGTTCGAGTGGAACCATTTAACATGTTGGTGGACTGTGAAATATAGAAACAAATAATACATGCACAATTAGATAACATGTGAACTTATTGAACAGTTTTGTATCAAAATGTAAAATAAAACATCAGAACATAAATTAACGCCAGAATAGTTTTTCTTTATTTCACCTGTTTACGATCTGTCAATCGTTCGACAAAATTCTAAAATTCACAGTCCTTGCATCATTCATTTCATTCAATATCTTACTCATATAATGCAAATTGCAGCTATAATGTATAAATTTCAAATTTGATTTTCAGGAGAACATGATGATTCAATGAAAAATGCTCTCAAGTAAAATTTCAACTAGAAAAACCCAAAAAAATGTTGACCAAAAGGATATCACATTGGATTCAGCTGCAAGCTGTCTGTAGCTAAGAAATTTTTATAATAATAGGCATACCCATTTATGTCCCCACCCTACACATATCCCAACTCTTTCATTTCAACCGTACCCTCCCATTCCTCTCATGTTTCACACACCGACACGTTCATCTCAACCACACCTCGCCCCTACCCCTTCCCGCTACACTACACCATCCTTTTCTTTCCATGACATAGGTAACTACGTTGAAAGTAATTTCCAATGTCAATACTTTCATAACGTTTATATGTTAAACTATGTAAACACTATTATTTTGTTACTAATGTTATGAACTTTAAAGACGTGTACACATGAATAGGATTTTAAATGAGTTAGCATTTCATGAGATTTCAAAACAATCTTACTTTTTTTATTTTTGTGAGCAAAGTTTGAAATTTCTAAACCAGTTTCATAAAATCTCATGAAACGAAAACAATTTGTAGGATTCTTGTTATCACATAACTACAAAAGTTACATTTTGACAGCATTTAAAGTGAAACAATCGTTTTTCATTGCGTAGTTTTAAATTCATGACGTAACGTCATTGTCCATATCATGACATCACGATGGATTTCTGAATGACGCTCTCGGATAATACTGTATAAAACTAGTGACAGATTCATTTGATGAGAGGCGGATTATGAGAAACTAAAATATGTTATTTGATCATGTTTACTTACAGTCTGTATGTTATCGGTATTGTTATAACTTTTACTATGCATTCGTCACAATAATCAAATCCAGAGCATATCGGCATATAATTTGTGCAGTGCAGTCCTTTTGGGAATCGTGACATTTGATATGTTTTACCAATATTGCACATGTAATATGTAAGTTATGACCGCGTTAGGTAAATATCCTTCTATTATATTGAAGGCACCTGGCATTCGTTAATACTTGATGAGAAATGCAAAATTGTAAAAATTGTAATACTTAATTACAAAAATTTAATTTCAAGAATTCTGTTATCCACAGTCCAACGATAGTCCGGGAAAATATTGTACTATCGTCGGACTATGCCTGAAACTAAATTTCCATACTTATTAATTTTCAAAATGAAAGACAACGTATATAAAAATATATAAAATTTCAGTTGATGTCACGTAACAAAAACAGCTATATCACGAATTATCAGCCAACCCCGTTGGCTGCTGACTATAATTACTGCTATACATTTTATACCTTGGGGGATTTTACTTCCTAAAATTTCAGAGTCGAATTCCCCCGCTACAAAGTTTCCTAGAAGTGTGCCTTTCGTATGACAAGGTTCAGAATCGCTTACTCTGACAGCTCCTGCATCCAAGGAGTCTTTTCTATTTTTAGCATCTCCTGTTGAAATAATTATTTTCTTGATAGTCATTGGCCATCTATATACAATTTCAAAAAAGCTCCGCCTTCGAGGGTCTGTGGCCCAAAAATATGACGAAGAATGATTATATGCATGTCCCGGACCATATCCGTCTGCCCAATTCATATTTGTTAATAAGGACGCTTTAGGATTATCTCCCTTGGGTACCTCAATAATAGGCAAGTCCTTTTCACCGAATCCTTTGAAGTTTTTATCAATCGATGGCATCATTTTGTGTTCTAACGATGACCATTTTCCCATGTGTTGAAACAGAGATGGCGATGAATGAATCGGTGCACTCTGTCCTAAGATCCGAAACACATGACCTAATAGGAGATCACAAGGTTTCGAATCATAATATGCTAGTAACGTGTGAGCTAATCTTTCAATGTGTACTGAGCGAAACAGTTTTCCAATAAATCCTAACTCGGTGAACTCTAAACAAATCCAAAAACGTTTTGTCTTATTGACAAAAATTTCTATATCATTCACAAAATGCTGCGCACAAACGACATCGTCTTCCAACTGGATGTAATATTCAGATATATTTCTAGAATACAGCATCACAAAAGCAAAATCCAAGTTCTGTTTTGACCTCCATAGTGTTCTTTGAGCATTGTCGCGTTGGGGGCCTTTAACAATACTCGATTTGAAATCTGGATATATATTCAACGGAGCATTAACAACTTGTAACATTCCGGTATCAAAATATTCTCGGAAGGTCGTGTACAGCTTGCTAGCCATTTCAAGGTTCCAAGTTTCATTGAAATCAGCAACAAAAATGACAACGGTTATGTGTGACTTTTCATCGTCGTCTGTGTTATCTATTATAGATTTAATGGTCCCCAGAATATAATTTCTTCCGTTCGGACGTCTCACTGAAGGTATCCCCAATGTCAGTAAACCTGAAAAAACAAAAAGAATGAATTAATAATTCAAAGTCGTCTCTCTATTTAGCAGACCTCAAGAGAATAGTTCGCGCAAAGCTATTGACTCTTTTCTAAATCCATTTCTAACAGCAGTTCAATTTTTAAAAGGACACTCCATAGCATGCGGTCAGGTTATCTTCCCTTCATGATATGATAAAATGGTATATCCATTCTAGCTAGTTGTATACGAGTAATTGTATCGTAAAGCTCGATCAATGATTTTTAATAATGAAACATCATAATTTTCTCGTGAAACATCCTTGATATTTTAGGGGTAATGCTCACTATCTGCATCCCTCAATATTTCATGACAAAATTAAAGGCTCAAGTGAAATAATTTGATTGGTCTATTTCTGGTTTCTGGAGAAAAATCTAACCACTCACAGACTGATACGCTCCTTTAAAGATTACAAAGGAACAACGCCCAACTTCAGTGTCAGGAACAACATACCTTTATGCGACCTTGACATTTGTTTGCTGTACATCAGAAGATCAAACTAGCCTCATTATCTTATTCACGAGGTGTCGCATACGAAACCTTAACATTTTCCATGAAATGTTACAGGGGTGCAACGAGCGAAAGTAAGAGTAGCCCTTGGAGTATCGAGGATTCTCATTGGATTGGTTGACTGTTGTTAAATATTGCCGTGATATTTCATCATTATACATGCATATGCAACAGTTGTGATACACGAATATTGGAGATTTATTACCGTACCAAGTAATCTCTCATCCAGTCGGATCACGATAATCCGGATTATCATTTCGTAGTCATGGTTTTAAAAGCCTATACTTCCATTAAACTATCTGTTTCCCGTTTAGTTCTATGTAAACCAGATGGGAGTATACCGGGATATACACTCCCGTCTGTTCATGTGTATGTATAAACATTCGGTGATAAAGGGAATATGTCTGCCCAAAAGTAATTCTGCTAGATATGAATGTAGTCACTTCCGGTTTCAATATTCTGACATTTTTGTTTTTAAATAAGAGGCCTTCACAAAAAATAAATTTACAAAGCTATAAAATTATAACAGAACAAATCTATTGTGAAACATGTATTTTTGCCAGAAAAAACTCATTATCGCCATAACAAACGAAATTACCAAGTTTGTCAAATCGGTATGATACGAATGAAAAAAAATGAAATAAAGTAATTATTCAAAATATGTCAACAGTTTAATCTTTTACATTAAGAATAAAGTTAGATTTGTGATTATACTACTTTATAAAATTGTTATGTATGATGACACGATGAACTATTACGGCTGTTCCCGGATTTGAACTTGTTGACGTCAGACTTTGGTTAAGCGAGAATTTTAAACGATATACATCCTATTCCGTTTGTTTTGATATATATTTGAGAATGGAAATATAAATAATGAACTGTTATCAGATGGGGTATACAGTTGATAACAAGCCAATCCGGGTGGAAGATTTAATATTCACGTCACCCTAGCCGCATGCGCCCTTCTATCTATTTCCCACCCAGATCAACTGTATATATGCCACATTCGATAATAGTTTATGATTTATATATATTCTTAAAAAACTGGATTTTATATCGTTATCCTGTAGTGGAATACACATACATTTTGTTGTACATGAATTGTGTATTACTCTAGTCTTCCTTCACATACCACTTTATATATGTTTGACTAAACATTAACTTACTCTGAAACATAGAAATAATTTTAAAAATAGTAATTTCAACACTAATCATTCGTTGTGTTTATGGTGAGTTTAGATATATCTACATGGATCGTCAAAGAATAAAAATGACAGGTGAACATTGAATTAGTGTGGCGGTCAGTGCCCTACTAAATGACTCTAAAGGATATTTTTGGGGATTATTTCAGTACATACTTTTCTTGGATCGGTGATGTCCATACAACAGAGATGCAGACGAGGAGCTCCATTGCGTCAAATTAGCATGGAGTCCTAGTCGGATAGCCAGGTCCGATACGGAATTGAATCCAGGGAAAGAAATCGGAGAAGAATTCGTCATAGATTTCTGAAAAGTTAATTTTGATGGTGAAAATGTGTATAGAAAATTAATGCAACAACATCTTAACTAAGGTAATTTATACCGTCGACAGAAACATTAAGTACAACACGTTGTAATAAATCGTATCACAATGTAAATTAAGACTTAGAGTTGAATAAGTATTTCATCAATATATGAAGCAAAACGCGAACTGAAAATTAAATCAGTATTTTATCCTATTATATAAGAAAACTTTTAATGATTTAATTAGTATTTAAGAATATAATGATGACATATACCAAAGACGCAACTAACACTTACATTAATATCCTATCATGATACATTATGAAACTTTAGGTAGAAAGTATCTTAGCATGATATATAGCAAACCTTCAAGTAACAATTGAATCAAATTTATCAAAATATTTATCAAAACTTCAATTTAGTCAGTATATCTGTAAATAAAGGTGAATCAACAAATTGTTAAGCAATAAGTTAATTTTAAATATCGCCATCATCTTGCCGAAATATTTGTTATTTGATAACAATGTTTATAGTTTTTGTCAATGTCGAGTTATTGCACAATATATAGATACGTTTTGTACAGATCTTATGACGTGTGATTCGTTTCCAGAGTATATACATTAAAGTTCAAAATTAAAGTTCAAAACTTCAAAAGAAAGTATGTATACACAGTCTTTACAGAATTGGCCTTCTGTTTCGAAGTTATGATCCTTCCGGGGTTTTTTTTTTTTATTATTTTTCCGGTGTGATTAATGGCAGAAATATAGAGTATATATTTTTAAAGTAAATAAAATGTCAAGCAACTACATGAGAATAGATAAATAAATAAATAAATAAAAACGGCAGATTTTGCGACCAACAGATTGTGATTGGTATTTGTCATATTTACTACATCAACCTCACAAGCACACAAGTTACCCGAATGTAATAGAATGGGTTTCGTCGCATATGGAGAGGTTTCCACCAACCCATATGATAAATATGATGATTTCAATTTCCGTATTGTAATTTTCATTTCAATATTTCAATTTCGATTGTTGATGATTACTATAAGTATTCACAATTTAATGAGCAGTTACAAATGCTTTACCCTGAGTTACATTTTCATTCATGAAAATTTATGTAACAATTGTGCGTTCTAAATTCCATACACTGTTCTTTTGGCATTACATACTAATTGTCGATATACAGAAAATGCCATAATAGATATGACTATTCTTGTACTTTTATTATCAATCTAAAAGTATTGACATTTAATAAAATCTGGGAACGAACCCTGGCAATCAGCGGATATAGCCATGCCAACAACAATAACAGTTCCTGTTCTTAGGTATTGAAGACAGATTAACTTTACAGCCATGAATGACGAGGAAGAAGTGAAATATAAACCATTCTGGTATAACTTGATACAATCGATAAACGACACGAGACATATCATTATTTCTTTAGTTGAAAATGGAATCGTCCTTTTCTTATTTCTTCGCTAGTACCTCATTAAATTGTTCCTAGTGATATTCTTTGATACGGAATTCTTTGACATCATGGCTTATTGATTTTCTGTCACAATAGGAGTTATTCAACTCCCAGGATATTGATTGTTCATTACATCTCTTGTTAAAAAAGCTCAAAACGCGATGAAGCAGATGACGCTTACCCTTCAAAATCCAAATCAAAATTTAAAAAAACTAAGGCTAATTATGAACAAAAGAAAGATTTACATGGAGATTCTCGAAAACGTACAAGAAAAATAAGACTAGGTGTTTCACAAGAGTAAGCGTCTCCTGCTTCAACGACGACACCCGTCATATAAATCGGTACATAATCAGAATTACTTAAAACATGCTTAACGACGAAGACGATGAAAATAATAACTGATCAACATATGAACAAATTGCACGTAGACAACAGAGTATATAAAGAGATAATACAACAGATTGTTGATGCATATGTTATTTCTTTCATTCATATGCATTTTTATCTTTTAAGAGTGAAATAAATATATAGAAACAGAGAGAAAGAAATACCATATACACTTAGCACAAGGTTGACCGTTTCCTCCATAATTAGGGCTACTTTTAAGGAATTTGGGTTTGAATTATGATTATGTTGCCATATTGGTAGTTCCCTGATGTTTTTATTAAAGTTAATCCGTCATATTTGTGTGATGTTCATGACTTTCACTATATAGAAAAATACGGACGTTTCACTTAGTTTTATTTTCATTTTCAGTCTAAAATGAATAACATGGCAGCAAAGTATAAACCATGGAGACTTATGAAAGCGTTTAAGACCGGTAGCTCGAGGAGAGCAGTGTTCACTTCTACTTCATCGATGTTGTTGTCTTGTAAATGTTGGTCAATCTATTTATGTCGTGTTGTCAGAACTGAATTTACACAGAAATCACAACTACTGATCCCATGTCTTACCTTTTTCGTCTTCCAAGTTTCTTTCTCGTCACAATTACATTTTTTATTTCCTGCTGTAAATGAAAAACAGAATCATGAAAACATCAATTTTCAATGTAAAAATAAGTGAAAACCTTATTTAAAAACAATAGTATTTCTCTACAAATGATCCCCAATCAGAGAAGTTGTAAATTGTATACATACATAAACACATGATACAAGAATACTTGATCACATTTACTTGCGTGTTTATCAGCTGGATAAGAAGACATCACAGAACGACCTATTAAAAATGCATTTCCCTCATCTAATACCTGTCTATTTCAGCAATTGCCCATAATGTCTTAATAGTGAAAAATAGGGTTTCTTTCTTTATTGATTACGGTAGGCAATATTGAAGGGAAAATACAAAGGCTGGTATTGATTGCAGGCTCGTTAGATATTTCCTATGATATATAAGACAGACTTCAAAGTTGGCGGATATCAAAGGGAAAATATTGATCAGTTTTGTTGGAATGTAATGAGAAATTTGTTCTATATGTCTATAAGAGCTGTCAACTTATATCATTATCCGTGATGTTATCCTCTCTTGTTAAAATCTAAATGTACAATACAAAGTAGAGTAAATCAAACACCTTACGGCATCAATTAAGCTATATTTTTTGTTCCCTGGAGATCTTACCTGTTGCAAATAACATTCGTTTCAAAAAATGAGAAGCAATGTCTTTATGTAACACAACTATACTTTCTGCTTCCAATAGCAAAATTTGCAAGCTATAAAGAATTTATAAGATGACTATTACCCTTGACTATTACCCTTGACAACAACCCTTGACTATTACCCTTGACTAATACCCTTGACTACTACCCTTGACTATTACCCTTGACTATTACCCTTGACAACAACCCTTGACTATTACCCTTGACTAATACCCTTGACTACTACCCTTGACTATTACCCTTGACAACAACCCTTGACTATTACCCTTGACTACTACCCTTGACTATTACCCTTGACTGTTACCCTTGACAACAACCCATGACTACTACCCTTGACTATTACCCTTGATTACTACCCTTGACTATTACCCTTGACTATTACCCTTGACTACTACCCTTGACTATTACCCTTGACTACTACCCTTGACTATTACCCTTGACTACTACCCTTGACTATTACCCTTGACTATTACCCTTGACAACAACCCTTGACTATTACCCTTGACTAATACCCTTGACTACTACCCTTGACTATTACCCTTGACTACTACCCTTGACTATTACCCTTGACTATTACCCTTGACTATTACCCTTGACTAATACCCTTGACTATTACCCTTGACTATTACCCTTGACTAATACCCTTGACAACAACCCTTGACTATTACCCTTGACTACTACCCTTGACTACTACCCTTGACTATTACCCTTGACTACTACCTTGACTACTACCCTTGACTATTACCCTTGACTACTACCTTGACTACTACCCTTGACTACTACCCTTGACTACTACCCTTGACTACTACCCCTTGACTACTACCCATGACTACTACCCTTGACTACTACCCATGACTACTACCCTTGACTATTACCCTTGACTACTACCCTTGACTATTACCCTTGACTACTACCCTTGACTACTACCCTTGACTATTACCCTTGACTCCTACCCTAGACTATTACCCTTGACTATTACCCCTGACTACTATCCTTGACTATTACCCTTGACTATTACCCTAGACTATTACCCTTGACTACTACCTTGACTACTACCCTTGACTATTACCCTTGACTACTACCTTGACTACTACCCTTGACTACTACCCTTGACTACTACCCTTGACTACTACCCTTGACTACTACCCATGACTACTACCCTTGACTATTACCCTTGACTACTACCCATGACTACTACCCTTGACTATTACCCTTGACTACTACCCTTGACTATTACCCTTGACTACTACCCTTGACTATTACCCTTGACTACTACCCTTGACTACTACCCTTGACTATTACCCTTGACTATTACCCTAGGACTACTACCCTTGATTACTACCCTTGACTACTACCCTTGACTACTACCCTTGACTACTACCCTTGACTATTACCCATGACTACTACCCTTGACTACTACCCTTGACTACTCCCCTTGAATACTACCCTTGACTATTTCCCTTGACTACTATCCTAGACTACTACCCTTGACTACTACCCTTGACTACTACCCTTGACTATTACCCATGACTACTACCCTTGACTACTACCCTTGACTACCACCCTTGACTACCACCCTTGACTATTACCCTTGACTATTACCCTTGACTACTACCCTTGACTACCCTTGACTACTACCCTTGACTACTACCTTTGACTACTACCCTTGACTATTACCCTTGACTACTACCTTTGACTACTACCCATGACTATTACCCTTGACTAATACCCTTGACAACAACCCTTGACTATTACCCTTGACTACTACCCTTGACTATTACCCTTGACTGTTACCTTGACTACTACCCTTGACTATTACCCTTGACTACTACCCTTGACTACTACCCTTGACTACTACCCTTGACTACTACCCTTGACTACTACCCATGACTACTACCCTTGACTATTACCCATGACTACTACCCTTGACTATTACCCATGACTACTACCCTTGACTATTACCCTTGACTATTACCCTAGACTATTACCTTTGACTACTACCCATGACTACTACCCTTGATTACTACCCTTGACTACTACCCTTGACTACTACCCTTGACTACTACCCTTGACTACTATCCTAGACTACTACCCTTGACTACTACCCTTGACTACTACCCATGACTACTACCCTTGACTACTACCCATGACTACTACCCTTGACTACTACCCTTGACTACTACCCTTGACTACTACCCTTGACTATTACCCTTGACTAATACCCTTGACAACAACCCTTGACTATTACCCTTGACTACTACCCTTGACTATTACCCTTGACTACTACCCTTGACTATTACCCTTGATTACTACCCTTGTCTATTACCCTTGACTATTACCCTTGGCTACTATCCTTGACTATTAACCTTGACTACTACCCTTGACAACAACCCTTGAATATTACCCTTGATTACTACACTTGACTACTACCCTTGACTATTACCATTACCTACTACCCTTGCCTACTACCCTTGACTACTACCCTAGACTATTACCCTTGACTATTACCCCTGACTAATACCCTTGACTACTATCCTTGACTATTACCCTTGACTATTACCCTAGACTATTACCTTTGTCTACTACCCATGACTACTACCCATGACTACTACCCTTGACTACTACCCATGACTACTACCCTTGACTACTACCCTTGACTATTACCCTTGACTACTACCCTTGACTACTACCCTTGACTATTACCCTTGACTACTACCCTTGACTACTACCCTTGACTACTACCCTTGACTATTACCCATGACTACTACCCTTGACTATTACCCATGACTACTACCCTTGACTATTACCCATGACTACTACCCTTGACTATTACCCTAGACTATTACCTTTGACTACTACCCATGACTACTACCCTTGATTACTACCCTTGACTACTACCCTTGACTACTACCCTTGACTACTACCCATGACTACTACCCTTGACTACTACCCTTGACTACTACCCTTGACTACTACCCTTGACTATTACCCTTGACTTGACTATTACCCTTGACTATTACCCTAGACTATTACCTTTGACTACTACCCATGACTACTACCCTTGCTTACTACCCTTGACTACTACCTTTGACTACTATCCTTGACTACTACCCTTGACTATTACCCAGGACTACTACCCTTGACTACTACCCTTGACTATTACCCTTGACTATTACCCTTGACTACTACCCTTGACTACTACCCTTGACTATTACCCATGACTACTACCCTTGACTATTACCCTTGACTACTACCCTTGACTGACTACTACCCTTGACTGACTACTACCCTTGACTACTACCCTTGACTACTACCCTTGACTATTACCCATGACTACTACCCTTGACTATTACCCTTGACTACTACCCATGACTACTACCCTTGACTATTACCCTTGACTACTACCCTTGACTACTACCCTTGACTATTACCCATGACTACTACCCTTGACTACTACCCTTGACTACTACCCTTGACTACTACCCTTGACTATTACCCATGACTACTACCCTTGACTACTACCCTTGACTACTATCCTAGACTACTACCCTTGACTACTACCCTTGACTACTACCCATGACTATTACCCTTGACTATCACCCATGACTACTACCCTTGACTATTACCCTACCCTTGACTATTACCCATTTGACTACTACCCTTGACTGACTACTACCCTTGATTACTACCCTTGACTACTACCCTTGACTACTACCCTTGACTACTACCCATGACTACTACCCTTGACTACTACCCATGACTACTACCCTTGACTACTACCCTTGACTATTACCCTTGACTACTACCTTGACTACTACCCTTGACTATTACCCTTGACTACTACCTTGACTACTACCCTTGACTACTACCCTTGACTACTACCTTTGACTACTACCCATGACTATTACCCTTGACTACTACTACCCATGACTACTACCCTAGACTATTACCCTTGACTACTACCCTTGACTATTACCCTTGACTACTACCTTGACTACTACCCTTGACTATCACCCTTGACTACTACCCATGACTACTACCCTTGACTACTACCTTTGACTACTACCCATGACTACTACCCTAGACTATTATCCTTGACTACTACCCTTGACTACTACCCTTGACCACTACCCTTGACTATTACCCATGACTACTGCCCTTGACTACTACCCTTGACTACTACCCTTGACTATTACCCTTGACTATTACCCTTGACTACTACCCTTGACTACTACCCTTGACTACTACCCATGACTACCCTTGACTATCCTTGAAAACTACCCTTGACTACTACCTTTGACTACTACCCTTGACTATTACCCTTGACTTCTACCCTTGAGTACTCCCCTTGACT